ATGTGGTAAATAGCATATAGGGGGGAGAGTCAGAAAAAATCTAAGAGATCGCACACGTTTGTTCCTAAGGTACAAAGGAACATATATTTATTTGCTTACATTTTTTTATCTACTTGTTCATGTACTCTTGCATACTATCTAAATTAAACTCATATTATATCATAACAAAAAAAAAATTTTTAACCATTTAAAACAATTAATATATGTATTGTATCCTAATAAAAATTAAAATTAAAATTTAGTTTCAACAAAATTAAAATTAAAATTGAGAAATGTCTTGATACTGATTGTGAGTATCTTAAAATGAAATATCTTAATACTAATAAAACTTAAAATTAATACCTTAATACCAAATAACTAATCGCATATTACAAATGCCATTTAACAAATAATATTAATAATACGGAATTAAGGAGTCTGGATTACCGATTAAAATCAAAGTAAGAAAAGAAAAGAGAAGAAAAGAGAGGGGGGGCCTCTGCATTTGTCTACGAGATAAATTCTAGGGCCAGAATATAAACCAGAGTCACAAGAGTAAGAGCAATTCCAAGATCTCAAGACGAGATTAACCTTGCAGAGCTCCTTGTACTACTACAAACAATGTCGATCTTCCAATATGGCGTCCCAAATGAGAATATCGGAAGGGCCTTGCTCGCTGGGCCGGACTCCTCGCTTCAATTCTCCCTCTCGGACGCGAGCTGCCGCAGCTCTCCTTTTCCTGGCGGTGAGCTCTCCTTGGGAAGTCGAATCTCGCTCGGTTGGTCTCCAGAATATGTGCCGCTTAGCTCAATCAGTTACGAAAGAAGGAAAACGTACTCGTCTCGTCCGAAGAAACGCAGCAAGAGCGGCCATGACACTGAACTGAACGAAAGCGAGGAAGGAGTGGGAGCGCTTTGAAAGTGGCGACTCACGCGTCGCGCCATCTACATCTGAATGAAACGATCGGGCGTTTGCAAAACGCGAAGGAATTCGAGCGCAATATCTGAAGTAAGTAATATTTGAAGTAAATATTAAATTAATATTAAATAAATGTTAAGTAAATGTTTCTTTAAATCATTATTGCAAATAAATAATTAATGTAAAATAAATATTACATTACTGTCGAATAAATGTTAAATAAATGTTTTTTCAAATCATTATGACAAATAAATAGTTAATGTAAAATAAATATTAAAATAATGTCGAATAAATGTTAAATAAATGTTTTTTTAACTTATTGCAAATAACTTACTAATGTAAAACAAATATTAAATAAACGTTAAATAAACGTTTAATAAATATTTTTTCTAAATTATTACTTTAAATAAATAATCAATGTAAAATAAATATTTAATAAACATTAAATAAATATTATTTTTACAATGAATTGTACAAATGTATAATTAATAAAAAATGAATATTAAAAACACATTTTAAAAACATTGTCTGCTGATTGGGCAAGAGCTTGAATAAATAAATACCAGTCCATATTCAATTATCGTAAATTTAGTAATATGTAAATATATGAAGATAAGTAATTATAAGAAGTAATAACAAAAAGAAAGATGTTTTGTAATAGTTTTGTATATATTTAAAATTTCCTACCTTTAGTTGCACATATACGCATGCGTACTCATACATACACACATTCTTTTAATTTTATTTTGAATTATTTTAATAAATAAAAAAAAAGAGAAAAAGAAGGAAAAAAATAGTATAGAAAAATACAATTTTATATAAATAATCATTTATACGTCATATATAAAATTATTTTTTTCAGTTATTAATAATATAACTATTATTATTAACCTAATAAAATTTCTTTTAATTTTGTTTTTAATATTTTTGATTAAATTAATAAATAGAGAGAACCGTTATTATAAACATTTATTATAAACGTTATTATAAACGTTTAATAAATCATATATAATATTTAATCAAAAATATAATAAACCTATAATAATAAAAATAAACTAAATGCAATAAATAAATTAAGAAAACGTTAGGAACATTAAAGTAGGAGCATGATTTCTTTTCAAACAGAATTGTCAGATTCTAAATAGGAGCCAGAGGTTGAAGAGGTTCAAAATAGGGTGATGTGACTGCTTATAGTATCAAAGTAGGTGTTAGGTAGAACATTTTGGTCGAAAGTAGGTGTTAGATTGAACATTGAGGTCGAAAATAGGAGAAAAATTTTGACTCGGGAATCGCGGTCGGAGGAGGAGAGGGAACGTAGCGCAGTTAACACACGCAAATAACAATAATACAAATATAATGTATATGACAGAAAAGGTTACGTCAAAATAAATCAGCCAGTTGTTTCAGACGGAATCGGTGAATTACAATTTGCGAGAGAAGATTACTTCAGAATAAATCGGCAGGTTTCTCTAAAATGAATCGGTGAATTACAATTTTTCTCTCGAATGTGTTGCTGCGGAACGCGGAAACTACGAGATACAATAACGCGGAAATTAGTCTAAGGACGCAACTTATAAGACGCAGTTACACGACCGCAATACACAATACGCGATTACACGAACACGATACGCCAGTCGCAGTTACCCGAACGTAATACACCATACGCGATTACACGAACGCAAGACACAATACCTACCCTCGACGATTTTCCAACGGCCGAATAACCATCCGCGACGTCTCGCGAATGGTCCCAAAATAACTAGAAAGGGCCTCTCGCGAAAAGCCCCAAAGATCCAAGACAGGTGCCTCACGCCCCGGGACGTGATTGCGCGAACATTACTTCCCTGTTCTGCGACAATGCGGTCCGTATTAGCGCGAAAGACACCTCGCTACATTACGCACCACGCGGTTACACGAAACGCTAAGACACAACAAAAACTACAACGAATCACACGGTGACTGTCGGCCGCGTACGATTTTTCGGGCAGGGCGATCCCATATTACTCTGTTGGCCGGGCCCTCCGTCAGTATTCCATTTAATAATTACTTACTCGGTAATACTCATCTGCACAAACGCGATGCTACAAAATAGTTCACGACACAGTACGCGATTTTCTAAGCATGCTTCTTGCGACTCTACGCGGCTCTCGGAAGGGCCCCGGCCGTCAGAACAATCTTACTTGTACCCAAACGTGGGTTACGAGGTGCTCAAGTAGTGTCCTTACAAATTCCGCAAGCTCGGCTGCCGGTCCTCTCGGGATGTCGTCTCTCGCCACGCCGACACGACAGTGACAATCCTCTAGCCCGGCGGGATCACGTCGGGCCCGCGCTTGCGCGCGCCGTGCCTGCAAGCCCTCCTTGCCGATCAGCCTTATGCGAGCCAAGCGCCTCCCGCTTCCGTCGGCGCCCCTCGTGGCTTCCTCGCTCGTCGGCGGCAGGTTTGAAAAGCCTATTCTCGAGTCCGGCTGACCGGGCCGCGACTCTGGTGTCGGTGTACGACGGCCAGGCTGGCCAAGCCATGGTCCGTCGACCGGTAGGCAATGCTCCGTGGCGATCTCCCTCCTTCGCGATTCGGCAGGCTTCATCCCGGCGAACATCGGGGCTGATGGACTCGCCCTGCGAGACGTTCCAAGCAACGTCCGCATATGGGTCCAATCGTGACCCGCCCGCCGGCCAACTCCTACGTAGAACGCCTCCCGTAAACTCCCACGGCGCGACTCAAGTCGTTACAATTTTTTCCTGGCCATCTACTCGACACCTGAAATCTTCGGAAATAATATAATGTACTGAATTATAACGCTGTCGCCCCGCCTCTCCCCGGCGGAGACGACATTCCGGACGTTCCTCCCGGTCGAGCTATCGTCTGGACAGGGGACGTGACTATGTCACGTCACAAACGTTAATATCTCGCTTCGCGGGGCAAAACGACACTTTTTTCTGCCAGATTCGGTCGTTTTGTGCAAAAACGCGTCGATTAAGCCCAAGTTCAACGAAATCGGTGAGGAGGCCACTATTCTTCAGATTTACCGTATTTTCCGTTAATTTGTCCATCTTAAAACATAAAAAATGGAAATATGAATAAAATCAAGATTAAAGTACAAAATTAAAAAAGAGGTTATGGAAGAGGTTATATTTGATAGATATAAATAAATAAAACGTTAGCCAATTATTTAGCAAACAACGCCAATGGAGAAGTACTAATATAAAAAGAAATAATAATAAATTAACTTAGAAAATGTGTCAAATTAGATACTTATGCTCGTGTACGTATACCAGCCAGCCAGAAATTGATCCCGCGATGCGTATATGTGCTGCGCAGTATGCTCTGCATCACTGATACCAGTTAGCACCAGAAATAATGGAACGACGTAATATACAGTTCAACGTGCTGCTATACAGTCTTTTACACACTTACACACTCACATATTTTATACATATATTTTATATATATATATACTAGAACAACACAGGCGCGCGCTACGCGCGCGCTTTTATTTTATTTCACGAATAGAATAAAACAGGCGCGCGCTACGCGCGCGCATTTATTTTATTTCACGACAATACAACTATACATTTTTTATATTTTTATTAGAAGTGAAGAGGTAAGTCGCTTATATCGACATAGGTCCTCTAAAGCGACACTTCCTTATTTCTCAAAAACTAAACACCGCACTTTATTAATGCTGATGAGGACATAATTTACTTACATAATTAAAGACGTAAAAACCCTTACTTTACACATTTATTGATTTTTATATATAAAATATGCTAAAAACGAATCATTCAAAAGCAATTATTAAAAAAAAAATTTACCCAAATCTCTTTTACTAATTGTACAGTTTAAATAATAATGAATATATTATTGATAATATTAGATCATTTTACATGTTTGTAACGTCCTAAAACTATTTAAATTTTTCTTTTTTTATTTTTTTTATATATACAATGCAGTTTTATATTTAAATATAAAATTGAGATGCAACATAAACTGGCATACTTATTGATAAAACAGATTATAAGGTAGTAAAAATCAAATAGGATAGAATAAAAAACACAGCACAAGAAGATTTTGCTGTGAAATTATGAAACAAATTTACTGGCAAATGCTGTCGGGATACTGCCAACATTTTGCTATGTGGGGTAAAGCAATTGTGAAGCAACACACAGTAACAGACTACGAAGGTAGAAAACGAAAGGTTTCAAGTTCAAATCCTGATCGGCTCTGTTAATTTTTCCGTTTACCCCTCTCGCTGTCCACCTTCCGTATCTTTCCTCCATCCTCACTACACTCCTTGTTTTCTCATATATTTCCATGATTCTCTTTCCCAACTTCTCATTCACCCCTGGTTTTTTCAGACATCTTCCCAAAACCCTCTTGTCCACTGAATCAAATGCCACCCTTGGATCTAAAAAACAGCCACTACTTTCTTTTTCCTCTTTAATCGCTTCCCTATCGCATAATTCAGTGTGTAAATGTTGTCCACCACTCCTCTCCTCTTCCTAAACCCTGCTGAGCTTTCTGGAATCATCCCCTTCTCCACCTTTTCTTCCCTCAACCTATTTGCTAATATCGACGCGTACACTTTGTACGCCGACGGTATCAGCGTAATCCCTCTATGTTCACTACCTCTTTTGCCCCTCTTTTTCGCTATCGGAACGACTACTCCGTCCTTCCACGCCTCTGGAAAACCCTCTCCTTTCCATACTCTCCCATAACGCCTTTCTTAAACCACTTCCCCCATAACTCCACACTTCATTTCCTATCTAGTCCTCTTCCGCTGCTTTACCTTTATTCAGCCCTTTCAGCACTCTCTCTACTTTCTTCCATCCTATCTCCTTCTCTTTCTCCACTTCCCCATCCGATCCCTGCTCTCCCTCCTCTCCTAGAAAAAGCCTTTGCTTGTATTCCGTTTCTTCTAACATCTCCCTAAAGTATTTATCCCACTCCTCTAATGTTATCTCCTTGTTAATTTCTACCCTTCTTCTCCTTTCCTTGTTTATTACTTCCCACACCTGCTTCTCTGTTCTCGCTTCTCTTGCCTCTTTCAGCAGATTTCTCTTTTCTTCCTTTTTCCTCACACTTTTCCTTATACTCCTTTCTTCTCTTATGATCTTCTTTGTGTTTTCTTCCTTTTTTCCAGTCTCTTAATAATTTTTCTATCTCCTCCCTCTTCTTCCTACAGTCCCCATCCCACCATACTCCCTTTTCTTCTGCCCCTCTTTTTACTTTTCTCAACCTTACTTCCATCTTAATTTTTTTTGTCAACTTTTCGACCTCTTTATCTATTGACCCTCTACCTATTTCTACCTCCTCCGTTCTTCTTCAAAACTCCTCTCTTGCTTCTTCCGACCAATCCGTCTTTTCCACCCACCTCTTTTTCTCCGCTATTGTCCCTCTACTCTCACCCCCACCCCCTTTGTTCAACCTGATTGGTAGTCCGAATCCGGTAGTCCGAGTCCGGATTAGTGTAACGTGACATCTGGAATAAAACAATAGGCGCGTAGAACAAACCCGCAGTAGCATTTGAATGTGATTGGTTCTTACTTTAAAACCAACAATCGATATATAGAATGTTGGTAAGTTGACAACTCAGCAGTTGTTTTGCAAAACGCGCGACCATTCTTTTATGATAGATTATATTTATTAATGCGAATATTATGTTGATAAGTATTGTCATTATTCCAGGGCATACAAACACTGAACAAGAAAATGAACAAGAACAAACGGAAGTGGTTTATACGAGTGAATCCGACCAGAATGAGACGCATAATGAAGGTTGGTATATACATTCTATACGTATTTCTATTCGTGCGATTAATATATATTATTATTGATTAAACTTTATCTGTATACTTTACAGATTTCGAAAATATTTTTCGTACACCAGAAGACGATTTTGGCGCTATTGGCTTAAGCGATAGCGAACAAACCGATCTACCTTTTCTCCCTGTTGCTGCTCTGACAGGTACAAATTCATCAAAGTCGCGGACCAGTGGTATGTGCTGCACATGCTTAAACGCCACTGCAGAATATATATTTATTCCATGTGGACATTTATGTATTTGCGATGATTGCCAAAAACAATTGGAAGATGAGAAATGTCCACTATGTCGAGAGACATACACAAATTGTATTCGCGCCATAACGACTTAATCGGAAATGCATAAGTCACCATACGTGAGATTTTTTCCGCAAGCTATAAAACAGTATAAGTAAAAAATATATAGATATACGCAAGATTCTTATATTGAAACAGATTACTATCGGCGTATTCTCAATTGATAATTTTATTTCTTATATTCTAATAATGTAGTTTTTTTGCACTCTTCTACGTGTTTTTTTTTTCCAATACATTTCATTCATTAGTTATTATTAATTCGATTTAGTGTATCATCGATAAATAGAAATTCGTGCATGTTGTTCGTTGAATAAAGTACTTTTCTAGTATTTGCATTCGATGCTTCGGTTGCGCTAAGAATGTAGACACATATATCTCGCATGTATGAACATATAAAATGTATGACGCGTTAAGAATCAAACGCGTAGGAAACGGAATTCGCCTTATTATTCTTAACGGGAACGTTATTTTTGTATAACGCACCACATACGTCTTGCATGTTACAGTTCATAAATAATGCGATAATTCGAAAAGTATAAAAGAGAATATCTAAATATATACCGCTCTTTTTAACTATATACTTTTTACCACTTTGATATGCGGTTGCGGATATGCAATGTTTTGCTGTTTTAGAAGCGCGTAGAAACAACAGCTCTTTTAATATTATCTTAAAATAGTTATTTTTATTTGTGCTCATATATTATATTTTTACTTGCGCGAATCTTCTTTGAGAGTTCATTCTTTAACGAAAAATTTTCTTCACTTTGCAAGTGAGAAATAGAGAGAGAGTGAGAAAGAGAGAGAGGGAGGGAGAGAGAGAGAGAGAAAGAGAGAGAGAGAGAGAGAGAGAGAGAGAGAGAGAGAGAGAGAGAGACTAATATATGAAAAACCCATAATATACACATTATAAAATATATATTCTCTCGATCTATATATATTTTTTTTCTTTCACGTACATATATTATAAAATAAAATACTAACGTATTGTTTAAAATTTTGTTATTTTTTCCCTTTGTTAAATGCGTTCATCTTCGTATACAACTACTCACAACCATTATAGCTTGAGACTTCTAGATACTCGCCGAGGTCATATCCTAGATTGTGTAATGGCTCGTCTACAACAGCCGTAAAAGTATGCAGTAAGACGTGAGCAGTAAGCTATTGACCAACCACAGTCGATTATTCTTGAATTGTAAAAATCCCATTAGTCAACAGCTTACTGCGTACTGTTGCGGCTGTTGTAGAGCCATAAGAGATTTTGTCAGAAACGCGAAAGACAACACGTTGAAATATATATATAGTATTTCATAGATGGTACTTGCAGATAAGAAGATATTTGGCTAAAGATACTGCACCTTAGATCGCTTTAGCACACTTATAAAATATTCCGAAAAATGACCTTTTTTCTTAACAAAGTTTATAAGCTGCACACGACTAGGCTTCGCGTCACATTCATTTTTTGCGACTATTTATTAATTGTCAAGGGAAAATGTTAGCTTTCCGAAACATTTTATAATTGTGTTGAAGCGATCTGAAGTGATTTTTTTTCCTAATATTCTTTTATTTGTAAATGGAATGTGTTTAATATTCAATGTTCAACAATTAAGATAGAATAATGCTTACAGCGTTGAAAGCGTCAAGACGAACCCAGCCATAGTTGAACATTGTATTTAAGACCGTCTTAAGTACAATCTTAAGATGTTTTAAACAAATCACAAAGGCCGGTATTCATAGTCGGTTCTTATATTTAAAACCGTCTTAAGTACAATCTTAAAATGTCATTAACTAATCACAAAAGCCGTATTATAGCATCTTATATTATTCAAAACGGTCTTGAAATAAGAACAGTAGACTATGGCCGGTATTCATAGTCAGATGTTATTTCAAGACCGTTTTAAAGGCCAGTATTCATAGTCGGATCTTGTTTCAAGATCGTCTTAAGTAATATCTAAAGGCCATTGCACGTAACAAAGATTTAGTTTTAATTATAAGGCCGTAAGAAAATAGACCAATCACACTCGATTATTCTGCAAACGCGAGAAGAATAATCGACTGTAATTGGTTCGTTTTCTTACGGCCTTAAGATTACAACTACAACATTGTTACTTGCAAAGGCCTTTAAAATGCTAATACGGCTCTGTGATTGGTTCATAACATCTTAAGATCGTACTTAAGACGATCTTAAATATAAGATATCTGACTATATGAATACCGGCCTAAGTAATGTTTTAGGGCTCAGACACAATGACAAAAATAAGGAATAAGATAAAGGAATAAGGAATAAGGGAATGTC